GATACGACCCGGTGTTGAATCTTTTGATTCTACTCCGGTAAAAAATACTCACAACAGTGGCCTCCGTTGTTTTTCTTGTGGCGAGGTGGGCCATCGCCGAACCGAGTGTCCTCGTTCAACTGGGGGCCGACAATTATTTGTTGACGGGGATGGTGAGCATGATGACCATCTCGCTTATGAGGGACTTCCTGTGTTTGATACGGAGCAGTTGGAGAATGTTGAGGTTCATAGCGGTGATGTCGGCACGTGCCTTGTGCTGCGACGTTCTTGTTTGTCTCCCCATGGCGATTCGGTTTCTTCTGGCCAACGACATCAGTTATTTGAGTCCACTTGTACTATTGGTGATCGTGTTTGCCGCTTTATCGTGGACTCCGGGTCTTGTGAGAATGTTTTGGCAGAGGAGGCAGTGTCTAAGCTTCGATTGGCGACAGAGCCACACCCCCGTCCCTACACTTTGGCTTGGATCAACCGTGGCAGTGGTGTGAATGTTAACCGCTGGGTCTTGGTCTCTTTCTCTATTGGCGCATCTTACCGTGATCAGATTTGGTGCGACGTTGTCCCGATGGATGCCTGCCACTTGCTGTTGGGGCGCCCCTGGCTCTTTGACCGGTCGGTTATTTATGATGGTCGTCTTAACACCTATACTTTCACATTTGACGGTGTTAAGATGATTTTGCAGTCAGCTCCTCCTCGTCCTTTGCCTCAGACGGCGGCTTCTCCGGTGTTATTCCTCTCGCGGTCGGCTTTTGAGGCGGAGATGCGTGATGCCCCTATTGTCTTTTTACTTTTGCATACCGAGGTCCCTGACAGTGAGTCGATACCGCCAGCCATTCGGCCTTTATTGGAGGAGTTCGCTGATGTCTTTCCTTCTGAGTTACCGCCCGGGTTGCCTCCGTTACGTGATATTCAGCACCAAATTGACTTGGTGCCCGGAGCGGTCCTTCCTAATCGCCCACATTACCGTATGAGCCCTACAGAGCATGAGGAGTTACGTAAGCAGGTCGAGGATCTTTTGCAGAAGGGGTTGGTCTGTCGTAACCTCAGTCCTTGTGCTGTTCCGGCCCTCTTGATCCCGAAGAAGGACATTTCTTGGCGTATGTGTGTCGACAGCCGAGCCATCAATAAGATTACGGTCCGTTATCGTTTCCCTATTCCTCGATTGGACGATCTTTTGGACCAATTGCACGGGGCCACCATTTTTACCAAGTTTGATCTCCGGAGTGGATATCATCAGATACGTGTTCGGCCGGGTGATGAATGGAAGACGACTTTCAAGATTCGCGAGGGTCTTTATGAGTGGTTGGTTATGCCGTTCGATTTGTCTAATGCTCCGAGCACTTTTATGCGCGTCATGAACCAGGCTTTACGGGATCTTATCGGTAAGTGTGTGGTCGTTTACTTCGACGACATTCTTATCTACAGTCGGTCCTTGGAGGCGCACTTGGACCACGTGCGAGAGGTACTTCTTATTCTGCGTGCTGAGTCTTTTTATGCTGCACCGCTCAAATGTGTGTTCTTGGTAGATCCGGTTCTTTTTCTTGGCTTTGTTATCTCAGCGGATGGTATTCGTGTGGACGCCGGGAAGATTGCCGCCATTCGGGACTGGCCGGAGCCTACGACGGTTACCGAGGCACGTAGCTTTCATGGCCTCGCCTCCTTCTATCGTCGATTCATCTCTCATTTTAGCTCCATCATGGCCCCGTTCACAGACTGTATTGCCGGGAAATCTTTCGTTTGGACGCCACAGGCGGCCGCGGCCTTTGCTCTGATCAAGGAGCGTCTTACTTCGGCACCCGTCTTGGTCTTGCCTGACTTTTGTCGTCCTTTTGAGCTTTTCTGTGATGCTTCTAAGGTCGGCATTGGGGCGGTTCTGAGTCAGGAGTCTCGCCCGGTCGCGTTCTTTAGTGAGAAGCTGTCGGGCCCGCGACTTCGGTATAGTACTTATGACGTGGAGTTTTATGCTGTGTATCGTGCTGTCCAGCATTGGCGACACTATCTTTTCCACCGTGAGTTCGTTTTATTTTCCGACCATGAGGCTCTTCGTCATCTGGCTTCTCAGGACAATATCTCTTCTCGTCATGCCACGTGGACTTCCTTCTTACAGCAGTTCATGTTTGTCCTCCAGCATCGTTCGGGGGCTTCTAATCGCGTGGCAGATGCACTTAGTCGGCGTGCCCTCTTGTTGTCCGATATGCGGGTGCAGGTTGTTGGTTTTGACGTCCTTCGCGACTTATATGCTTCTGATCCTTTCTTTGGACCCATTGTTGCCCGCCTTTCCTCGGGCCCATTTGAGGATTATGTGTTGCATGATGGCTTCCTTTTTCGTGGTCTACGATTGTGTATCCCTGATAGCAGTCTTCGTCTGCAGCTGGTGGGCGATT